ATATAACTGATCAGATGGACTAAAATTTTAGATCTGAGAAAATGATTTCACCCCAAACGGCTGTATTCTTCAAGGGGTTATAAATACACAATGTTTTGGACATTGTGGGTATGCATTGGAGAGAAATAGAGAAACCTTCCTTGATATCAAAGAGTTTTTGTTCTTCATCTTCTTCATCCTCTCATACATATTATTCATAAAGTATTAAGCTTCATTTGTATTCATTTATGCTTTAATTGTGAGCTTTGATTTGCATATCAATCTTTGAGAGATATATTTGTAAGTCGTATGCAGCGGAATATATTTTGGAAAGTATTAGAGTTTGTAAAACAAATCAGTGTTGTTATTAACTTTACTTATTCTAGCAAACAGATCAGAGTTTTCAAATTATCAAGTTTGGCAGAGACTTTTCGAAGCCAAACTTGAGCATCTTGAACCGGTTCAAGGTTGGCAGACCTGAATTTTTGGTTCCTTCTGCCTATATTCATTCTACTGTAAGTTCCGTTCAAAATGGTAAGTGTAGAATGTGTCCAACCTTGTTTAGAATCCTTCCTAAAGTGGTGTTCTTACCTTATTCTTAAAAAATCTTCAAGTATGGTATGTTTGAACGCCTTCCTAATTCTGTAGTCCCTGTCAAACTTGATAATTTATAGAATAAGTAATTTGAATTACAACTCAACTTGGACTAGTTATGTCTACGATAATTGCCAAAAATAAATTAAAATCTCACAATATTCTTATGCAACAAATTTTTATCAACAACCAATTGTAAGGGTTAGTGTGACCCAGCAGAAGTCTAATAGAGGATTGTTCTCTTAGAAATAAGAATTAGAAGCGGTTTGCTTCTTGTACCATTTTCTCTCCACCCGTAAGGAGGTGCCATAGTGGGATTGAAAAAAGTCTCAAGAGGGATCTTAAGTCGAGGAGTAGTAGTTACCGAACCTCACTAAATCGTTGTGTCAAGTGTTTGCATTTCTCTTCCCTTATCTCTTTTACAACTGTCTTATTAATTGCTTGAGTTTATATCTTAATTATTACATAATTGTTATAAGGTATTTATTAGAATTTGCAAAACAATTAAAACCAAAAATTAACCATTGTTTGCCATAGATTCTATTCACCCCCCATCTAGAGTCAATACTTGGGCAACACTTTCTATGTTAACAAAAATGTTAACGCTGGAAGAAGATGGGGGAGGCAGCATAAGAGAGCAGAGCGTAGACATCAAAATCGTGTATGACATTAATAGGTTGTTGAGGAGTAATAATTTCCTATGTTTCAATAGGAGGACTAAGAGCAGCAGGAACCTCAGGATCAAGGCCATAGCCAGGGCAGGGATCCAGAGTATCCTCCTCAGATGACTGATATGATCATTTAGACAGTAGCTGCAGGGGTAGTAGCTACACTTCAGAATCAGTCACCTATTCAGCAGCCACCTATTTAGCAGCCACCTGTACCTATACCTGTGGTTCAGCCTAACACTTGGGATAAGGTTAAGAGTACTTTCATAAAGAGGAATCCACTAGAGTTCTCGAGCTCCACCGATGTGAAGGAAGCATACCAGTAGAAGAAGAACATAGAGCGTCATCTTCGTATGGTTGAGGGGACTAATATTCAGAAGCAGATGCTTGCTATATTCAAGCTTATGGGAGATGCTCTTTAGTGGTGGGAATCTGTTACACTGCAGAGGAGAGGACTTCTTTGAAATGCAATCAATTCAAGGTACGCTTCGATGGGAAGGATTTTCTTTATGCAGTCAGAACTGCAAAGAAGAAAGAGTTCCTTGATTTATAGTAGGGGAATAGTACTGTGGCAGAGTATGAACAACAGTTTACTAGCTTATCACTTTTTGATCATTTTTACAATTAGGCAAATACAATTAGGCAAATAATCAGATAATCAAGTAAAAATGCAATAAAACAATAATTAAAAATGCCGAGACTATTCTTTTAAAATTAGTGGTATTACAAGCTTACACTACTTATTCGCAGGTAGTTGACATAGTACTACAACATTGCCCGATAAGGAGAGAGTAGAAGCAACTCTGGGGTGATAAGTGGATTAATAAAGACTCTACTAATCAGACTATTGAGAAGGGCAATGATAACGGTAACAGACATAATGACTGCAATAACCCGGTCATTTTCTTCCTTTTTCCTTTTTCCTCGAATTTTACGGATAATTTTTTTTTTTCCGTTGTCTTTTCTTTTCTGTGGATGGTTTTTCGTCGCTTAGTGTCATCTTGAGTGCTCAAAATTGGTTTTTGAGACTCTTTCATGTGAATTGATAACTTCCTTTGAGGACCGAGTCATTTTCGTATTTTTCATTTTTGGATACTATGCGCTATTTCGTCTTTTCCCTATTCTGTCATTTTCCCTATTTCGTCTTATCTCCGTTTGTCAGTTTTTGGCACAACCTCACTTTTTATGCTCGGAGTTGGTTTTTGACTTCACGTATCCTTATCGTGAGTGGTTTTCACGAAATACGTATCTTTACTTTTGCAAGAAAGTACTCTGGTTACTTCCGGTGCCCATAGGGGCATGGATGCATAAATCTTTGGAATTAAATTCATTTCTTGGGGTGTTTTTCATAAATATCTTTTAAAGATATTTTATTTCAGGGGCATATAAGAAAATATCTTTTGGAAGATATTTTCATCCTGGTGCAGTTTCGCAGTTAACCCTTTTTGTAGGGGCAATTGTGCAATTAACGAAAATTATTGCAAAATGTCTCGTCTGGAGCCTAAATCCTCGTACGGGATTCATTTTCACTTTTTGTTGACTTGTAAATTCATAGAATTCCATTTTGGTCTTTTTTCTCCAGTTTTAGAATTTTTGGATCCGGTTGCCGCCGAACTTGTTCGGGGCATAACTTTCTGCTCGAGACTCGGTTTTCAACGTCGTTTCTTCCGTTGTTCATATTTTCTCATTTTAAATCTTTTTCATTCATGGAGTTTTTCCGTTTCAGCTCGTTTACTCAAAATTCACTTTTCCGGATTCGGCGGGGCCCTTTCAGGGCACTTTTTGTGATTTACTATAAATAGGAGCCTTAAAGAAGAAAAACCAGATTTTCTTCTTCTTCCTCCTCTCCTTGCATGACCAAAGGCAGCCATGGATCCCCATGGAGCTGCTATCTTCTCTCTCCTCCTTCAACCTACTTTTCCTAAGTGAAAATCCTTCGGCCTTTGCATTTATTGCTCGTCTCGTCGTGCTCTATCATTACCCCTTATTAGAAACCATTTCTGACCAAATTTTGGGTTTGGGATTTAGGCCAAGTTTGGATTTTCATGGGGCTTCTTGGATATTCATATAGATCGTGTTGTCCCCGACAAAACTTAGGAGTTTCGTCGGATTCGGAGCCGTTTCGTTTTGATGGCTTTTGAGATTTTCATCTCAAATTGAGGTAGGGGGTGTCTTAGGATTATATTTGTGTTGTATTGATAATTATATATGCTTATACAACTTGTATGCATGTTTTGTATAAATTTTGGAATTTAATTTTAATTAATTTCTTTGTAAAGGATTTAATGCTCAGGATACGTATGACTTGGAATTGAATTGTAACATGCTAGGAAATTATGCTTGGATATGTTGGTTAACATATATTAAATTTGGCTCATTTGATTAAGAATTACAACTTTTATTTAATATTTATCTTTAGTGAAAGTTTAATTTACATGGTTGTATCAAGCATGAAATCAAGTTGTAATGTGGTATTTAAATAGGCCTTGGCATGTTCTCTAACATAGATTAAATTGAGGGCATTTGGAATTGTTTAAAAATCTAGAGGAAATTAATTAATTAGCTTGATTAATTTTGTTTTAAGTGCTTTAATCACCTAAATTGTCATTTGATGTGATATATGTGATGACCATAACATGTCCTTCAATATATATTAAATTAAGGTTATTTGGGATTAACTTGGAATTTAGAGAATTTAACTATTTATGTCTAATTAAATTCTATTTTATTACTCCATGAATTTAATTGCATTTTGGAAGTTTTTTTTATATTTAAATCATGGATTTGGATTTGGTGTATGTTCACTTGATTACTTTTGAGTATTGGATAACATAATGTTACTTTTATATTCATGAGAATATATTTTTCCTTATTGAATATATTGTTACTATGTGTAAGGAATTGCACACTTTGTATTTGACATATTTCATGCCATAGTAGTTGTAGACTTTGAGCATGTAGTGTATATGTTTTCAAAATTTTGGTTGTGCTTAGTAAATGGTTGATATCTTGTATATACATGTTGATATATATACGTTGTTGCACAATTTGTTGATTTTGGAAACTTGGGGATGTCGTTGTTGGCTACGGCTAGGACTTGGTTCTAGTACGGGGAATTGTCCCTCTATATAGTCTAGTGTGCACGTGGGCTAGTAACCCCTAAAGTAACTATATTGTCGGTCTAATCCGGCGTGACGTCCGAGTATCCACTTTATTTTGATTTCGTATTTCATTTCAAGTTGATAACTAGATGATATCGTAACTTGTGGTTCCTTATTTGATTTCCTATTTTGAGATTAAGATGTAACTTTGTGAAAGCATGCTTTGTGCGTTGTATTGGAAGTTCCATTGTCGGTTAAATTGCATTGATATCATAAATTGTATTTTTATGTTCAAATGTAGTTTAGGAATGATCCTATAGATTCATTTTGAACATAGACGTTAGGTGGCGTGACCCACTCTTGTTGTTTTCGTATTTTGGATTTCAAGTCGAAGACTTTGAGAATCTATATCTAGTTGCTTTGTATAACATGTTTCCATGTTGTTTGAATTGCGTGAACAATGTGACTATGCTAGAAATGATCTAGGTAGCATAGGATGATCCCTGAGTCTCACTTGACATTGACGTTAGGTGGCATGAGCCCCTTTAACATGTTTCACCCTAAGGTGATAAAACTGTAAAACGCTAGGTCGATGCATGCTCATCTCCTACGAGTAGCTTTATGTTACTCACCCCTACGTTACTGGGGTATATTTCAGGTACAGGACTCAAGCCTTGAAGATTTCATTGCCTTGGATCGTTTGGTAGCTTTATGTATTAAACTTGTATTCTTTGATTCTACGTATGTTAAGTGTACATAAGTACACTCCTTTTAATGCATTAGACATGTAAGACATGAGGCCCAAGGCCAAGCAAGTTTATATTTGCACTTGTATTCAATTGATGCCATATTTTGCTTGAAAATGTATTTTTATCAACTATGGAGGCTTTGTATGCTAAAACTTGTTAATGGAATGTAAAGAGGCTTTAGGCCATGTTGGTACATCTATTTTATCTTATTGCTTGCACTTGCATACTCACTTTGGCAAATAACACCATCCTTGATGAAACAAAAACTCTAAGTAGCATTTTTAGGGAGTTTTACCCTATTCTGTTCCAGGGGCATTTTGGATATTTGCCAATGCATTTTTTTTTCATATTTCTTCGTGATTCATGTAGAAAACTCAATTTTGAGGGGGGTTTCTTTTTTGTGTTTTTCCAGAAAATTCCATCTTGGCCCTCAAATATCCATATTTGTCTGAAAAATCCTTGCTGCCAGGTTTTGCAGATTTTTAGTGCAAATGTACTTTGTACTATTCATCGACTTTTTTTTGAAAAGTGTGACGACCGATACGAAACTTCCGGGGGGTCTTGTGGGTGTATTTTAAGATTTCATTTTCAATTTAGGCAATTTAAAAACCTCTCGAAGCCCTATTTCCTTTCTTTGGGCAGCAGCTCGGAGAAATTTTTACCCCCTTGACCAGATTTTCTTGGGGGCATTCTGGGCATTTTACAATACATTTTTTTTTTTGTTTCCGTTTAAGGGCGGGGTAGGAAACTTGATTTTAGGGGGGGTTTCTTCTTTGATTTTTTCTAGAAAAGTCCGTTTAGATGCTCGTTTTTACTCTCAGTTGCAGCAGTAGTGGGTTGACGGCACTGCAACTGTCACGGCCTTCGTCGGGCCGCCGCGACGTCGATTTTGTTTTTGACCTTTCTCCCACATCCAGACTCTAAATCAAGTGAATTTTTTTTTTAAATTGATTAATTTTTCATTGTCTATCCAATGGTGTGCTCGGTTGCACCCTGATATTTCTAGATAATTACCGATTTACCCCTTTTAGCTTTATTGCTCGTTTTTCTTTGTTTTGTCGTTTCTTTTTCGTCCGGAATCCGAATAATAAAATTCTTGAGTCCATCATGATTAGTTTTTCATTGTCTTCCCAGTGGTGTGCTCGATAGCACTTGAATCCACTTTTTTTACAAAATGACCATTTTGCCCTTAGGTTCCTTTTTGTCCGTTTTTAAAACGACACTTCCGCATTTGTTTTCCTTGGGTTCCATGACCTCATTAAGGGTCACATTGGTGTCTTAGAGACGCATTGTATCTCTAGAGACCGTTGTTTCACCTTTCGCTTTCGCATTTCGGATCCGTTATCGGGTCATCTTTTGGTTATCACTGACGCACCGGGTTTACAAAACTTGGGCCGTCACAAGTGGTATCAGAGCTCCTAGGTTTGAATACCTTGGGATGACGGGTTTTGGGTGCGTATCACAATTCTGTTGCTTTGTTTTACGTGCTTATATGCTTCATGGTAACATATTTTGGTTTGATAACATGTTTAGGTGCTTATGTGCTATACGTGGTATACTATTTGGTTAACTTGTTTCGATTCCAATATAAAGAGCATGAAATGTGATGTATGCTAGATTAGATTCGCATATACATAACTGTGTTGCATATTTGGTATGACACGGGATTGGTCATTGAGGCACGAGTTGAGGTTGATGATGATTGTAGTCACGGTTGTATTGTAGTTTAGGTTGTTGTTGACCTAGAGTCGGTTTTGAGGTAGGTGGAGAGACAACTTTTGTTTAGGCTCTAGTGGATTTGTTGATTTCAGGCCATGGTTAGGTTTTAGACCTTTTGGGATCCTTTGTTGTTTTGGAAGGTTCTTCTGAGATTGCAATTTTTGTGGGCGGGTACGTTGTGGGCAGGTGTATGACACTGTTATGCTACCGTACTGGCAAGCTACGAGTGCAGTTCGGATGGAATCAGCATTGGGTTTTGTTCCGACAGGTGTAGTCCTTTTGATTGGTAATGATGATGGTTATTTTGGGGATCAGTCGTAGTGATCAATTTAGTTGTCTGATTGTATGGCTAGAGTAGCCATTTCATTTAAGTTCTCCTTACGTGATAACGCTTTTGGGATCAAGTCGATTGATTGATGTTTTGGGTAGAGAGAGCATTGCATTGTTAGTGTCACTTGTGGTGTCACCTTTAGATTTAGAGATGGATTGTTGGAGTCTTACCATTGTGGTAAGGGCTCACGTTTGTTTTGAGAAAGGTTGTTGTTGCGTTGGTTTTTGGAGACAGTTTTGGCTAGGGCCGATCATTCCTTCTACCTAGATCCTCTAGACACTCTAGGACACGATGTCCAAAGGGTTCATTGTTGCATCACTTTTGTTTTCTACAGTTTCATTTACTACCATGTTAGTTGTATGATTTATGTTATTGCGATGCATGAGTAGGTCGAGGTCTATTCACATTTGCTTTCTTGTTATGTGGCTTTAGCATGCCTTCTTTATATACTTAGAGATGCCATGTTGTTACTGCATTTTTGTGAGATGACTTTTGTGCTTATGTGGAGACGTGCCACATGTACCTTTGGTTTTATCTATGTGAGTAGATTTATTTATTTAGTAGTTGTATTCCTTATCATATGCATGACTTTCGTGTTTGATTCTTCTTTCTGTTTCCCTCAGTCGTACGTAGTGTGTCCGATTTTGTTGTGAGATTCCTTGTAGAGGAGTTGTTATATTTGTTTGGTCTTGAGCTGTCCATTTCTTTAAGGTGGGAAGTGGGAGAATGGGATTCCTCTTCTTTCTTGGTTTGTGGTTGGGACTTCACAAGGAGTGAGTCTCTTCTCTTCGTTGCCTTGTGCGCAGTTTTGGGGTTGGTTGGTCCGTGAGGATCATCGTTGTCATTTTGAGTCTTTAGCGAGGATTTGATGGATTTTGGTCGACTTACTTTCATGCAGGGGGTGAAGTCTTTGACCTTATTGTCATTCATTTCAGAGGTGGAGTCGTGGTGTTATCCTTCTTAGGACTGGTGGTTTCCTTTCCTTCGTGTCTTTCCTTGGGGAGTTTTGCCATGGTTGTTGAAGGAGTTGTGGTGCTCAGAGTGAGTTGATTGGTGTGAGATCATTTTATGGGGACTTGCTTCCATATCATTTAGGATTTATTTAATTCATGAGGTGAACTCGCTACTCTTTTGAGAATGTCCTTTGGAGACTTGTTTTGTTTTTTTGGAGACCTAGATGTGGTTGACCCTTAGGAGAAGTTTTGAAAGATCGCCGTTGGATTTGGCTTGTTTATGGAGTTTTCTCGTCCTAGTTATGGTTAGGCATAGTTTTGAGGAATTGTAGTTCCAGTGATTAATTGTGAATTGAAATTAAAGGATTTTGATTTAGCTTGGCGATGCCAAGCACGGTTTTGAGAGATTCGTTTTGTGACCTTGGTTGTCAAGACTTGATGTGTGTACCACTTAGTGGACTTGTATTTCGAGGATTTGGTCATCCGTAGTAGGGATTTTGATTTTAGTGTGGTTTCGTAGTTGATCTGTTTCAGGATGATATCTGGGATTTCGGAGATGATGTTTTGCTTGTTAGACTTTGGACTCTTGATTGAGGATGTTAATAGGAGTATTTTGAGGCGTTGGAGTTGTTGGTTTTGTTGTATTGAGAACTTAGGACCTTAAGCTTAGTGGTGCCTATGACATTGTTGTCAGAGTTTTGGGATTAGGTACCCCAACTCTTACAAGATGCCTGGTTCCCGTAGTGCTTTTGGTAATGATGATTCACGACATTGATGTCATTTGTATCGAGAGGTTTCATGGGTAGACCTAATGGGGGGCAGGTTATGAATTAGTGCCTTATACTGTCATGCTACCTTACTGATGAGTAAGTGTGGGCAGGTTCTGGTCGCTATTCGTACTGCCACGTTGTCCTTTTTGGGTTGTTTTTGGATCGGTATGATGGTTCATCAGGAGAAATGCTTACGGTTGTTGCCTTCCGTTCCTTTGTCTGGTGTTGGGTTCTGTGAGTGACCTTTGACTTGTCGTGTGGCCGTGCGATCATTTTTCTGTTGAGAGGTTGTCCAGTCGTAAGCACGTGGGTGCAAATATCATTGGCTTGAGCGTTGTCATTCAGCCTTGGGGTTGTTTTCGTTGCATGTTGTTTGGGGTACTCGGAGATGTACTCCGTAGTTATCCTAGTTTTGCCTTTTGTTTTGTTGGGGCTAGATTTTGGGGACGAAATCCCTTTAAGGTGGGAAGGTTGTAATGACCTGGTTATTTTCTTCCTTTTCCCTTTTTCCTCGAATTTTGTGGATAAATTTTTTTCCGTTGTCTTTTCTTTTCTGTGGATGGTTTTTCGCCGCTTAGTGTCATCTCGAGTGCTCAGAATTGGTTTCTGAAACTCTTTCATGTGAATTAGCAACTTCCTTTGAGGACCGAGTCATTTTCGTATTTTTCGTTTTTGGACACTATGCGCTATTTCGTCTTTTCCCGATTCTGACATTTTCCCTATTTCGTCTTATCTCCGTTTGTCAGTTTTTGGCACAACCTCACTTCTTGTGCTCGGAGTTGGTTTTTGACTTCACGTATCCTTATCGTGAGTAGTTTCCACGAAATACGTATCTTTACTTTTGCAAGAAAGTACTCTGGTTGCTCCCGGTGCCCATAGGGGCATGGATGCATAAATCTTTGGAATTAAATTCATTTCTTGGGGTGTTTTTCATAAATATCTTTTGAAGATATTTTATTTCAGGGGCATCTAAGAAAATATCTTTTGGAAGATATTTTCATTCTGGGGCAGTTTCGCAGTTAACCCTTTTTGTAGGGGAAATTGTGCAATTAACGAAAGTTATTGCAAAAGGTCTCGTCTGGATCCTGAACCCTCGTACGGGATTCATTTTCACTTTTTGTTGGCTTGTAAATTCATAGAATTCCGTTCTGGTCGTTTTTCTCCAGTTTCAGAGTTTTTGGACCCAATTGTCGCCGAACTTGTTCGGGGCATAACTTTCTGCTCGGGACTCAGTTTTTGACGCTATTTCTTCCATTGTTCATATTTTCTCATTTTGAATCTTTTTCATTGATAGAGTTTTTCCGTTTGAGCGCGTCTGCTCAAAATCCACTTTTCCGGACCCGGCGGGACCCTTTCGGGGCACTTTTTGTGATTTACTATAAATAGGTGCCTTAAAG